TCTTCACTCCCTGCACCGGTGTGTTTTGACGCCTTGACCTTTAAAATAAGTTATAAACAAATAAAAACCTATTGTCTCCCCCATTCTTTGACATAATATATAATAAAAGCAACGTTAAAACTTACCTTCTTCAATTCTTTAAAGTAATTTGTTTTTAAATTATCAATTTTCTTCTTTAACGTTTTGACTGTAGCATCCTTTTCGATATTTTTGTATATGCTGAGAAGCACTTCGAAACCTTCACTTCTTATAGTTTTATTCATGTAATTTTTATCATTTTTGTTCCATAGATATGGCATGTCTTTATAGACTTCGATTATATGGCTTAGAATTTCTTTTTCTTTCGTCGCCATGTCGCCATTCACGAACACTCGCACCACAGAGTATATAATCACTGACTCGCACCACAGAACATAAAACTCGCACTTTCTCACAACAAACGAAGCGACACATTCACACGCGCGAAGTGCTGCGTACCGACTGAATCGACTAAACGCGATCGCACCTTCCTAAATTTGATTCTAGTTAGGTTTCTAAATGATTTAGTGAGTCAGTAGCCGTACTTTTTCCTAAATTTAGAAACCTACCTTCCTAAATGCGATTGCATTTGTCTGAATTTAGTAACTGAATCATTTAGGCGACTAAATTTAGTAAAGTGTAATAACCACTTAATACACATATTACCAAACAAAAAAGCAAAGTCGTAAAAAGCACAGTATAGGTCACGATCGCACGGAATATGCACGATGCTAACACACACACAAACAAACATTACACGGTAAACGTGCATCGTGCATTACACATTACTTAGCTATAATGTTGCGTACACATTGGCGAATGGTGTATCATTCGTGCATTTTAATAGCGGTGACTTTCTCGCATCTATGTCTAGGAACTTATTTTAATATTTGTTCTTCCTTAGTTCTTTGATATTCCCCTCTGTTTTGTTGAAGGGAAGTTATATAAGACAATTCGTTTATGAAGAATTTACCACGCTAATAACATTAGTGAAAGATTGCTTTTATCATTTCAAGTCCAAGCAACAATTGATATGTCATAATAATATCCATACTGGTACATAAAATATATATAATAATATGCTGTTAGAGGAATAGACAAAAAAAGTAAAAAAAGGAATGTCACTGCGTGGCGGGAAAATTTATGACGTCTTGCTCATGATAGAAAACAAGATGGCGGAGAATTTATATGTTTTTCAAAGCTAAAGAGTTTTTTTAACGCATTAGTCGCAGAAAATACTGTTCCTAATTGAAATTCTTTTATATTGGATACTCTACATATCAGGAAAGATTTTAAACTACATGACATAACGTCGTGAACTATAAAACCCGAGGAGCGGGCACAACTGCGTAGTAGTAGCCTACTGCTGAAATGTTATTGGAAGATTAAGTCTTAGTTTGCAAAAACAATTTAAGATGTTGTTACTTTTTAAATTTTAAAGAGTTTTACACCTACTTAGAATATTATCATCACATAATTAATAACACTTGATGAAAATAAGGAAATTATTCTTCACAAAAATACCAACACCATGGCTTCCACACAAAACGCCGACATATCTAAATACCTAATCAATGCAACTGTGCCGGGTGGTACATAAGCAAGCAGTTAGCAGCTGATTAGTTAATGTTAAGCCTGTCTAATGACCTGGCTTCTCATTACTATGCAGTACTTCAACTTAACGTACAATTTGCCTTGCCTACGTTAAAACTTGTAGCTAGACCCTCTAGTTACCTACCTCCTCGCATATTAGTATTACTAATGTTACCTATTTACTCTTTTTATATCGTAGTATTTGATTACTTATAATAATGTGAATAAGTAGTAGAATAGTTTGTTATATTATGTACTTTTTGTTATATAAGAGTTTTGTTTTTTGGGTTTCTTCCAAATAAATTCTTTCGACTTGGGCCCTAGCCCCGACAGAGAACTATATAACAAATCACTTTAAGAATATTTCAAAAATGATCGCAATTAACCAAGTACCCATTTAATCCTTGTTATACCAAGTTCCATGAATGTCCATTTTATATGTAGTTTACATTATTCTCGACTTGAAAATTGTATACCTTTCCCATGACCCGTAATAGCTTATAAACCAAGAGAATACAGAAGCAGAAACTGTCTCCCTTCATTCCTAAAATACTGGTAAGAGTAAAATGAAATTAAATAAAAAAAAAACTATTTCAGAAATAGTAATTAGATAATATATTACACTCATTACAATAAAATATGAACACATGTAATGCTTTCGTGCTAGGATCTCATTGTGTATAATTAAGGTCAATTTGTATGTAATATGAACCTACTTTTTGTAATTATTTGACATTTTGTAGTAATTTGATAATTTTTCTGTCTGTTGATCTGCAAAACCCAAAAACGTCATTTATTACAGAGTAGATAACTCTGATGCTTAATATTTTTTTCTTACTATTATGTAATTATTCTTATATAATTTGTTAAATATGAGAATTATACAAAAACTTTTTTGAGAACTTTATATCCACTTTAAATAAAAATCGATCTTATGAAAATCAAATCGATCTTTATTAAGATCAATTTTTGTTACTAAGAAACATAATTAGGAATTATTTTAGAAGATATTGTCACCTAATAGGTATATTATATACAAATAAAAATAGACCATCAAAATTTATGAACGCGCCCATAACTATGGAATGACTGCACCGATTTGGATAGTGAGTTACATGAAGTTATAGAAAAAAAATCGATAAACTCATCGGGAATATCAGAAAATAGAATAAAATTGGACGAAACTAGGTTAGACTAACAGTTTATCATCATAATTATCTTACCTATAAATAGTTACAAGAAGAATGCACGTTGAGATAAGATAATGCATCTCAGAAACATAATGCTTCTCTGAAGACGAGTAACAGAACTCGTTGACTTGAGTATTAATACACGAACAAAGACGCGTATAGAAAATAAGCAAATAATAAACTAAGGACATTCTCACTCATTATAACAAAGAGAATGTGTGTCAAATGATTTAAAAATAGAACTTTACAGTTTAAAATTAAATTAGGATCTCTTTAGAAATAACGTGTTTAAATAACCTTACTGTAATGGATGCAGATAATAGATGCAGTGATTAATCAATTTCAAGAGCTATGCGCAAATTCAAATGAAAACAGTGTTTTGTGTTTTTGTTTTTCCACGTAGGATATCTATTGTACAGACGGGGTTGCGGGGCAAGCATAATAAGGCATCGCGGCCTCGGCCTAGAGCAGGAGAAAGAACGGGGGTTTTAAGTCAGTAAGAGTCTGGCACTTACACTTTAAACTCTCGGCCCGCCCTGGGCAGGACGGGAGAAGATATTTGATGATTTTCCCCTCACAAAAAATAATGGTATCTATTCTACAGACATGGGCTACGAATATTGAGATATCAACGATTAAAATCATTGCAGTTTATTGATCCTACAACTGAGTATTTTAGTAAGTTCTGCTTAGAACGTAAAGAAAAATAGTACACTTTAGCTACGACTCTAAACAGTAAAACAAACTGGAATATTTTACTAAAATATTACACAAAGACAACGATACAAATAAAGTCTCTCAAACTTCCTCAAACAAAATGTCTACCGTATTACGGAAGTGGGATTCCGCAAGTAATGTCATTGTAAACTCGATTGACAGCCGACAGCCGGCAGGTGGCGCGCAGCGATGCGTAGGCGCCGACCTCACGCCCCCACTCCGCAAAAATCACGGCACTGTGAGAACCTAACGATGAGTAATCCTATCTGAGACGTGAATGTCATTCTAATACGCTGTTTTGGAATTGTATTCACGGGTGGAAACTTATCTTGGTATTGTTTTATGTCATATTAATGTAACAATTCCAGTAAAATAATTACTAGGTTAAACTTGACCATATTAGAAGTAACACTTTGTTTGTACTGTGTAAGTAGGTAGAAGACACTGCGTTCCGCGTTTAAAAAATATTTTTTTGATTATAAAGTAGCTTATATATAATCTGTATAGTGCTCCAAATGTTCATCTTGACTGCACGGTTGGTGCGGTGGCTGGGCAACTGGCTGCCGTGTGACGTGTCGCGGGTTCGATTCCCGCACGGAACAACACTTTGTGTGATCCACAAATCTGTATGTCTGGGTGTCATGTGTATGTGACATTGTATGTTTGTAAACGCACCCACAACACAGGAGAAAATCCTAAAGTGGGGCAACGTTTTTTATTCATTTTATTCATTATTTATCTTTATTTGTATACATTGGTTTACTACCTTCTTTAAGACATTCAACGAACTTTTTGAGGCGGTTATGACTTCAATTTTTTTTGCCCATCCTGGATTGGGCGAAAGAGAGTGGCATACATTTACTGACTGAAAGCCGCCCCGTTCATTCTTCTGCCAGGCCGAGGCTGCGGTACATTCACGCTTGCACCGTCAACACCAGGCATCCCTAAACCTAACTGATAAAAATAGTTTACTTATGTACATGCGTATAGAGATGCGACAGCAAAGTTTTGCGATATTTTTTGGGGAACAGGGATATTTGGATCGCCACATACTATTTTTCCGACAAAGGAGCAGTTTCTTAATTCGGTTCTATTGTATCTCTCAATATTTACTGGTTGTTTTCTTTTATTCATCATCATCATCAGCCTATAAGTGCCCACTGCTGAGCAAAGGCCTCTTCTCATATAGAGAAGGTTAGAGCATTAATCACCACGCTTGCTCAATGCGGGTTGGCAATTTCAAACTTATGATTAGAAATTATAAGTCCAGGTTTCCTTACGATGTTCACCTTCACCGTATGTCAGTGGTGTCTTAATAATCATAGAAAGTACATATAACTCTAAAAAAGTCACATTGGTACTTGCCAGGTTTCGAACCCACATCCTCATGCGTAAGAAGAGGGCTCCTTAACCTCCGGGCCACCACGACAACACAGGGATTTCTTTTATTAAAACTAATAAAATAATTTTCTTGTCCCTCAGGCTCGGTTTCAACAGAAACAAATGCAGGAAAGGGAGATGAAGATTGCGTCTTTGTACGAGGCGCAGCAGGCGAGAGCTCTGGACAGAGTTCGACACTCGCCCAGTAATGTGGGACACGCCTCACCACCACTACCGCCACCTACACATCAACCAGGGAAGGTAAGATGAGCCTACCGTAAGTTGGGGGGGTAACTTTGATTTAAACTTCCAAACCAATGAAAAACGAATATACTTTTGGTTCTCGATTGTTATTGGTTCAGGGGTTTGGATAAAAGTAGCCCGAACTTAACCAGTATCAAGTTTAAAATATATACATATAATTAAATAAATAAAAGTAGGTACTGAATGACCCTTAAAAATTAAGTACTGAAAAAGATAATTAAAAAAAATCAGATGCACGCTTAGAAATTGATTTTATCTACATTATTTAAATCTTATTGTGTGTCAAGTATCATTAACATTTATTTGTCAGTTTCCCTCAGTAAATAAGGTCTTGTAAGTTGAATAAAAAAGGGTGAAAAAACACTGTTAAATTTTCAAAGAAAAAATAATTCTTAGAATACCTAGCTAAGCGAATGTAAGCCGAAAGACGTCTGTCAGACAAAGTGCGTCATTTGACACCATAAGGCGGTACGGCGGGAAAGTGACGCGGGTATTTATGTAGAAAAATACCTCCAAGGCACAGATGGCGAACTCATTGCCGTTCCCACAAATGTTTATACTTTGACTTAATTTAATATTCAATAAGTGGAATACGTGTATAACATTATAATATTGTTGCTGTAAGAAAATTACTTGACAATTTTGTAGAGACGTAATAACGATAATTTCTACTTAGGGCTGATTTTTCAATTAAAATAGATAAATGTTATCTGAGGAATAAAATTGTTGCTGTCACTGTCTTATACAAACGTAGTGACGCAACAGCATCATAATTATTCCGCAGATAACTTTATACCATTAAAAAATTAGTCCTTAATAAAACAATGACGCTTTTTCTTTCACTTTATTCCTATTTATGTTTCAATCTTTAAAACTTCGCAACATTTTGATGTGGCTTTTTCTGATAGTGATTGAAGACGAAGGTTTATATTATATGTATAATAACATATATTATATTAATTAGTAGTAAAATTAACCCAACAATCTTGGTAATTCGAGAAACAATATAATAAAATTTGGAACGAATAAATAGTTCCACTAGTAGACTAAGCGACTGAGTAAAACTTTTAAAATTCTATGTTTAACTGCCGACCCGCCACGTCTTCGCTCCTGTGAAATGCTGATACTAAATGTCTCCACTATTTAATAGATATTATTTGACATGTACAAACATTCATCTACAATCACTCTATTTATTAAAAAATCGCATCAAAACCCGTTGCGTAGTTTTAAAGATTTAAGCTTACATAGGGATATAGGGATAGAGAAAGTGACCTAACTTTATTCTATGAAGTGATTATTTTGTTTCACGTTTAAAATTGCCTCATTCAGATTAGACTTTAAACTTTGATGAACTTCCTTCACCAGGTACGACAGATGTTTGAAGAGCGCAGAACGAAAGCTGGCATCGACAAGAGTTATCCTCTACAGCCTATTCACAACACAGACAGGCCGGCAGCCAGGAAACCACTGCCCAATGGATACAACAAGGTCGCCCCCTCCAAGGTCACTGTCGAGAGGAAAGTCAATAAGACACATACGATCAACTCCCACACCGTAAAGCGGCAACAAGTGCATGTAAGTGGCTTTTAACTAGAATTTAAAAGGCCAGGTGCTTGGAATAAAGACTTTATTAGAGTCCAAAAAAAATCGTCTTATTCCTTACACATTTTCGAATTGGTCCTCGCCATATAAGTGAGGTTACCGGAGGCTAAATTTTTCCCCTCCCACCCCCCATCCTCAAACCTCAAATCCCCCTAGGTATCCTTAAATCCCTAATAATACATAAGAGGACGGTAACGTACTTGTAGTATCTCCTTTGGTACTACGAGTGTTCATTGGCGGTTCTGATTGCTTACCATCAGGTAATCCGTCTGCTCGTTTGCTGACCTATGATATAAAAAAGACTGCTTTTTAAAAGGCCGCATCACAATTATAACTCTTGTGGTATTGAAAGGGGGTGTATTGCCGCCCTTTTGAAGTTCCTGTAACCAGACTTACATGGGAAAACAAAACGCTGTAGTTATTTTTCGCCAGTGTCACTTCAATAAATGCAACAAATCTGGTGTTGCGTGATATCCGTCTGCTCTTTTCCACTTACATCACATCATGGTGTTCAAGAAAATGCATTATGTACATGCTCTATAGTAACATCTAAGCGCCCCCTTTTTTAATAAGTTACCGTTCCAACATTTAGATACAATGCATTTATTTACAGAAAACAGAAAACATTGTAAACGGCTCCGGTGATCTCAACCATAACCACGAACCGGACATGAACTCCGTCAAACATATTGTAAGTAGTTATTTTTTTAAACAAAAACTCCTTCATCCTCAATGTTTCTAAAGTCTTTATAAAACTGTTCTGAAGTCATCTAATACAATTTGGTTAGTCCAAGGTCAAAAATAAATTAATTCAACGTTTCAATACAATAAAATATTAAAAAATACCTAACTTAACTAGGCTTTTATTCATAGATCTATAGATTACACAAAAAAAAATTTAAAGAAATATAATTTTTACAAAGATATATTTGATGCAAGAATACCTACTATGACGTCAAATTTTGGGAGTTTCATACAAATTTCATAGAAAAGTATCATTTTTCACATTTGGATAAAATTATTGAATTTGACTAGTTGAAAACTACCGTACATGTCTAATTTCTCATTTTCTCTTCATTGCCTTCATGTTAAGCTGCCACAAAGTAACGGTGAAGTGATACTTCCAAACACGGATGAACTTGACAAAGTCGACAACAATTACTTGTTGGAGAACGAAACGTTCCCGGAGGCACTAGCACCAACACCCACGCCGAGGTCGCCTGACCCACCAGCTGTTACCAAGAAACCTCCACCTAGAAGGTAATTATGTCCACCTAATGGCCATCTTTTTTTTAATAACCGAACTGTACGCGTACTCGAGATAGAAATTTGACACATTTTCTATGAAGCTCTGGTCAAAAGTATACTCCAGTAAGCAAATTTTCGGGTGTTTATATAATTTCGCTTTTCAGAAAATTCTTTCTGAAGAGGTGACATTAATTTTCAAATGGGACTTTCCAGCAGTTGCATGTCGCACGGAGCAGATGATACTATCATAATATACTTATACCTATATTATTCCAAACTCCAAGCCGCAAAATGCTGCGATTCCAAAGTTTTTAACTGGGCTAGTTTCAACAAATTGAGATTCATCAGATTTTAATTCAGACTGTCCGTGTGTACATCACCATCTTAATTTTTTATAAATTCTCTCCTGTGTATGTTTTAGAAGTCCCGCTCAAAGAAGCAGTCCAGCCAAAACGAAACCTCAGCCGTCACCTCCCGCTGCTGCACCTGCCCGAAGGACTACAAGTGATAACGCTGTAAGTAAATGCTTTTACCTTGCTTTTCTATTTGAGAATTACTTATTTACACCAAATTACCTTTAGTATTTTAGTTATTTAGTTAATGACAAGGCTTGAATATATAAGACCATGATATACTTTTGAACGTTAAATATCTTAAAGATAGAAAGAGTCAGTCTGGTCATCCTGTCCGTCAGGTATTTAGTGAAGCTATTTGCTCGTTCCATAGTTTCCTATGGAGATTATATATGCAAAAGAGGTGAATTAAAAGTACATTAATGTTATATCATTATTACTGGCCGTTTTCAATAAAACATTGACATTTAGATGTCATTCTTAATTCAAATTCAACGACTTTTCGTCAGTTTGCAAAAATTGTTTGTCAATATGACCGTGTAAATTTTTTGTTAGTAAAATTATAAGAGTTTTAAATGTTTTAATTGTTTAAATGAAATAAACAGCTTCCCAATAGTTCGTTTGTGTGATGTGTTCAGGTACCGGAGAGCAATAAGGCCCGAGGGGCCATGCAGCGAGCTGTTAACCCGGTAAGCAAAGCAAAAATAAATATTTACCTGCACGTACTAATGTGTTTTTCGCATTATATTGTACTTAGCCATGCACTAATTTCTCATTATCTTTGATGACATAATTACAATATACCGTATGCAGTGACAGCGTGATGTAAGGATGTAGTAACGCCATCTATTATCGATGACAAGAAACTACACATAAATGAGAATATTTATTTTGATTTTTTCCATGTGTAAAAATTACTTGCTCGCTTTTTACAAACGCAAGTGTTAATAATTTATCGTTATTACCGCACTTTTTTTTTGTTTTTTTGTTGATTTTATTTTATTTTGATTTATTTTCAGGTTGTGACCAGAAGGCAACCGCTGGTAGGTATTTTCTATCTTAAAATCTTTATACTTGTGCACTGCATACCTGCTAAACGAAATAAAGGAAGTCCTTATAGGTGTATTTTTCGTGATTTAGTTTTAATTTTATAATGGTAACATTGACACTTTTGTAGGGTAGATATTGACAAAGTCGTAAGCCTTGCGTTACCTTTGCTTAGGTAGTTATAAAAAAGAAACTAAATGCATAAGATATACGAGATTTTAATTGAAAATAAGTATGTAACTTAGGTTCCCTTAATTTACCTACTAGTTTAAGCGTAACTTTGGTCGTTAGTTGTCGATTGATTACCATCACGTTTTTTTAAGGTTTAGATCGGCAAACGAGCAGACGGATTACCTGATGGTAAGCAATCGGCGCCGCACATCGACACCCGTAGCACCAAAAGAGTTACGAGTGCGTTGCCGGCCTTTTAGGGTTTCGGATATAAGGATTGGGAAGGGATGAGAGGGTGGGATTGGGCCTCCCGTAACCGCACACGGCTAAACACAACGCTCTAGTTGTTTCACTCTGGACGAGGCGACCCATTCGTTTCCAAGCTTGGCTGTCCCACACTAAATTTTTTTTGATGTCGTCTATAGATTTAGGAAGCCTAATTTGAGCTAGATATTTTTTCATGTTGTATAGATTTTCGCGGCGTACCTAACACCTGATTATATTCTGTAAATATTCCTGTTTGTACATTGCAGAGTTCAGGTAGTGTAGGTGGGGCGGCGGCGAGCTCAGCGCGGCGCGGCGCGGCATCCGCGGCGCCGGCGAGCGCGGCGTCGGGCGCCGCCTGCACCGTCTGCGGCCGCCACTTCGCCCCCGACCGCATCGACAAACACCAGGAGATCTGTCGCAAGGCACACGCTAAGAAACGAAAGCCTTTCGACGCCCTCAAGCATAGACTTGCTGTAAGTATCACACCATCGTCATAATGATCACTTTCATTTAAATCGTTGTTTTTAATGCCCCGCTCTAGGATGATGTTCTCATGTGTCTTGGTTGCGTTTACAAACATACACATGACACCCAGACCCGGAAACCCAAACTGTGGATCAAACAGAGTTGATCGCGCTTTGACCCCGCGACACGTTGCGCGGCACCCAGTTGCCTAACCACTACTGCGCTAATCGTACCGTCTTTAGTTTTCAATAACAAATGTTTAGAAAGGGAAAGAGGAAAAACTATGTTTGAATTTTATATAGCTCTGTGTGTCTTAAAGACAGTTTTTCGGAGTCGAATAGCACGACGTATTTCTTAAAAAATATTTTGAAAAATGCGAACGAAAGGGATTGCTGGATATATTTCGCATTAATTGCTTACACAAAGTACCTAGATCGTGCATAAATTTAGACGTACCAATATTACCAAGGTTTTAAAGGAACAAGTGAATTGATAATTAATACCGGTAAGCTTGGTAAATTAAATTTCCGATAAAAATGGTCCGGAATGGCTAGACCCCTTTTTGCTTTTGAACAAATGATTGATATTTGTGATTAATAGTTGACTGTGCTATTGTTTTGCTGCCTTTTGTTAGGGAACGGAAGCTGAGGGATATAAGGCAAGCTACTCTTTGATATAAATCGTGTCCTACATTTCATGTTTCTTGAATACACTTATTTCTTCCATTATTCTACGATTCTTCTGCCATAATCAGTGTACCTTCTTATATTTCGAGGTTCCATCAGCATATTCTCACAATTATATTCAATATCAATCATGATTCAGAATTGTTATAATTCTATTTTATTATTGATCTGTGATTTCACCAATTTGATTATGTGTTGTACTGTCTTCATGTTTCATTCATACTGAACTTGCACAGAAAAGAATTAACAATCACAAGATACAAAATTAGAGGCAAAATTAGAAAAAGTGACCCTTTCGTTGTTAACGAGATAGTACAACCCTTGCGAAGTGCCGTCCGGTAGTATTAAGTATAATAAAAGCATGAGCTATTGACGTACAGGATACGCTTCAACATTAAATGTTCTGTAATGAACAGTGCGTCGACATTAATATTCTTCTCTCCTCTATGCAGACATTCAAGGCATCAGAAACCTCTGCACTTAGCAGAAGATTTGTACTATGTCTAAAATCCTGAGCCCGACCAAAATATTGATTCAACACCACAATCTGACCGGTTTCTCACCTCCAGGGCACTGAAGCTGAGCCGTTTATAAACAAGTTGCGTAAGGCCCCTGCAAACCCCGCCTCCTCGACGAAGGTGAACAAGAACCTCAACAACAACTGGCGGCAGAAGCACGAGGAGTTCATACAGGCGATACGTGCTGCTAAACAGGTGCAGGCTCATCTCAGTGCAGGCGGTGAGTGGTGTTTTATGACAAGATTGATGGGTACCTGGCACTAGCCAGTGAATAATTAAGTTATTCTATAGAATCAAATGTTAAGTTATTTATTCCAATTAAAAATCATTTATTACTTTTGACACGTCAAAATAGAATTTAATTATAGTGAAATTTACCGTACAACTAACAACAATCACGTTTTAAATCCTTTGTCGTCTCCAACAATACTCACAATTCAAAAGAATACTTTTATTTAAACTCTGTTTATACAATAAAAAAGATATTCCGAGGAAAGTCTCAAAGAGCCATTAATCCACCACAGAAGGAGCCCATGCAGTTATGCCGATGTTCAGTCTGTAGTGGGAGAAACTAAAATAACAATCATTGATTTTGTAATTGCAGGTAAGCTCAGCGACCTTCCGCCGCCTCCTCCATCAGAAAACCCTGACTACGTGCCGTGCCCACACTGCGGGCGACGCTTCAACCAACAGGCGGCCGAGAGGCACATCCCCAAGTGTGCCAACTACCAGTTCAACAAACCCAAGCCCGCCGCCAAGCGTCGGTAACCTACTGGCGACTTGACAAGACCCGCTGCGGACTTACCCGAGTGACTCCCGACCGTTACGTTTGAAAATATTCAGTCGAGTACAATCGTACGGAGTTTATGTACGTAGCTCTGACTGACTGGTTCAGCTGGCAGCACTCGTGTATCGTCCCCCTACGTCGCCGACAATAAGGTGTGATCTTTGGCTGTACTTTATTTTAGGATTAAAACAAATTAGTCGTCGATCGAGATTTCTCTCTGGTACCGCGTCCTTACATCCGCATTATGTTAGACTCAGACACCGACTACAGCAAGGACTTTTCTTCAAATCGATGGTTTGATGCCCTAATGCAAATAGTCTTTACTTGCACACTATTTTACCTCGTGAAGACGTTCTATGATATTATAAGTCCTAACACGAATAACAGTTATTAAGATGGAGCCGGAGCCTCTTTACTCAACGGATTATAAAGTTAATTTAAAATACAGTCGGAACACGTACTCTCTGCAAGACTTCTTAATTCGTATGTGCTTGGCGTCTATGATATACTGTATCCTATGGGCGTTTATATGTTACGTTCACGAACGCGTCTGTTCTGCTCCCCGTAGCCGACAAGTATGGTACAGACGCACTGTATCACCTGACACGATGTAGGAGAATAAAGACCAGCTTATTTCCTTCAAACTCTTCTAAAACCCTTATTTTAACACCACCCTTAGTTCAGTACTAATCCAATTAGTTTATCAAGATTTAAGACTTACCTAGGATACTCTGCTGTTAATCATTTCATCATTTTCCTTATAATGCCCCATTTACTCTGACATTATAAGAAAAATGTACTTCATATACCTATTATTGATTCAATTTATATATTTAAGTGGATAAGACGGACTATAAGTGAGGTTAATAAAAATTGACATTTTGTACTTAGAAGACCAATAATTTCATTGTACTTAGTACATTGCCATAAACGACTGTCGGGACCTTACCTTAGATAATAAACAAGTTGTAATTACAAGGAGATTTATGAAGTCAATTGATGTTTGTACAAAAGAACTATGCTTTTTAAACTGTTAACAATGCAGATGGTATTGGATTATTAAAATGTACTTTATTATTTTGTAAAATGTTGTTTTATTTGTCTGTCTCCATCCCTGATACCTATGAATTCCTATGAATCGGCATTAAGTAGGTAGAAACATTCATATTGATCAATCTACAATATCTAACCTAGGAATCCTCAAGAGACGGTCTCCCGCCACTGTAAGCGCTTTCTGCGGAGGGCGAGTAAGGGTAGGCCTGTACGCTCGGGTCCGGTTCTGGTCGGGCGGCGAGCTACCCTTACTCGCCGTCCGCAGACCCGCGCTTACGGTGGTCGGAGATCATCTCTCGATCCCCGACGTCCGGAATGTCGCCTTCTGCGGCGGCTGGGGCGCGAGGAGGATAGTTCCCTCACGCGCTCCGCCTCCTCCTTTGCGAGCATAACTGCTTCGCAGAAGGAGGAGATAGCTTCCCAGTTCCTCTCACGCTGCACCATGGCCTCGATTAAGGCCGGGCGCGAGAGGTCGCCGCCGCTGATCACTTCCCTGAGAACACGGCGGTGCTCAGCCCAAGCAGGGCACTCCGCCACCGTATGCTCCACCGTGTCCTCCAGGTGATCCTCACAATGACGACACTCGGACGTTTCCTCCCGCTGGATCCGAAACAGGAATCTACCAAAGCTGCCGTGCCCGGTAAGCACCTGCGTCAGGCGGAAGGTGAGGACGCCGTGGCGTCTCTCAAGCCACTCCTCAAAGAGGGGTCTTGCCGCTGCTATAGTAGCGTGCCCGGCGAGTAAGGGTAGGCCTATAAGGCCAATAAGGCTGATGTTCGGCCGGAGTAGCGGTGTAAGTGCAATGAGGCAACGTGACATCGGCCCAGAGCACGAGAAGGAACGGAGGGGGTTTTTAGTCAGTAAGTCTCACACTCTCTCTCCCTGGGAACCCTCCCAGGGTAAAGCGAGAGGGAATGACCTCCCCAGGTCATTTGATGACTCGCCCCTGACAAAAAACCTACCTAACTATAAAATGGCAGATACATACAGTACTAAAACGTATATTTTAGGCCAACGCGGGTCTGCGGAGTGCGAGTAAGTTTAGCTTACCGCCCGACCAGAACCAGACCTGAGCGTGCGGCGCGTAGCGTTCCACGCGCCTCTAAAAGCCAATAGATCACCGCGGGGCCTCATAGGGCTGATGTTAAGCCGGGATTTCCTGGTAAGTGCAATGAGGCACCGCAGCCTCGGACTAGAGCAGGAGAAGGAACGGGGTTGTTTTTAGTCAGTCTGATACTTCCTCTCGGCTCACCCTAGAAGGGAGAAGTAATTTGATGAGATGAGTGTGTGGGGTCCGAACCTCAACGGCGAAGAATCTGATGTTTAGATATTCCTACTTTACCTGTAAATGCAGGCAAAAGAGAAGCAATATTTTTATGATTTTGAATGATTGAATGAACGTTTGGTCACTTGTTGACTGCCAACAATCTATGTGATGGGGATGAAGACGATTTCGCGTAGAACGAGAAATTAGTGACGAAGATTGAAGAGATACGACCAACGGCAGTTTTTTAGCTGTGAACATGCAGACTTAAGTCTACCCCAATCTAATATTCTCTCTAAAGAAGTCATGATTTCAGACACAAGCCTGTTTTGACTCTCGATGACGTTTACCCAAGAAATGTTAGCACGGTCGGCGTAAAAGGCATCACCCGTGCTATCATCCGCATAACAATGAATGCCACTAATTTGCTACATATCACTGATATGGAGGATGAACAGAGTGGGCGGTAGCACTTTGCATAGAGGGGAGCCAGCGTACATAGGCAAGCAGAGTATCCTCCTCTCGAGCGGCGTCAGCGTCTTTAACGTTGACGACACCCTAGTTCTAACGAATGTAAGTTCGTATCGGGCGGTGGCCGACCAGGCTGTCAAGAGCGATTGCATTACGACATTCGTTTCCAAAATCCGGCAGCTGAGACTCAAAGCGGACTCCACTAATCCTGTGCCTTCATGGTTGTGAAACGTGCCATCTCTGGATAGGTCGAAAGATAGCGGAAAGAGGGGATCATCATCATCATGGTATTTGTAGGCGAGGGCGCTCGCGCGCGATTTCAGTTTGTGCGCTGACGCGTGTCGCAGGGTCAAAATTTTACTGTTGAGCTATATTTGTGCGTAGCAGAATCTCAGATCTGGCTTGATCTCATGGCAGTGGAAGTAACTTCTAATTTTCGAAGCTCAATTTTCAGGGTGTTTTGATCACAAATACATAAATTATGTACACATGATGAACATTTTAGTCGTTCTTATTCGAGACAATAGGTGCGCGTTTGCTTAGGGTTTGATGAATTAAATTGACATCAAATTCTTCACAAGATTTAGGTACATAAAATGTCTGTATGTACTTATACCTTCTTCCTAGGGGTACATTTTTATGAGCATACCCAGTCTCTCTAAAACTGAATATAACTAATTCCGAAGAGTATTTTAATCTTTGCATATTGCGTAGAAATACGGTTTTAATAAGATCGATTTCGAACTTGAACATTTATTTGAAAACCTATAAAATCGTGTAAACTGTTGTTTTCAACTTTTGCAATGGTTTGTCTTCGAAAAGGTGTATCCTAGAATAAAAGTTAAGATGGTTGGGTAAAAATTTTCTATTTTTTGGTATATTTGTTTTCATTGACACATTAATTGTGACAAAACCGTAGAATGGAGGAAGCTGAGAAGAGTCCACTTACAAAGAAATCAGATGAAATAAAACAACAAAGTAGGTATGCTTCAAATTCTATATTTTGCTATTGTCTTTTAAAAACGTAAATGCAAAATTATTGCCCCTCTCGTACAACGGGGAAGCGTGGTGGATATTTTGGTGAAAATTTGTTTAATTTTCATTATAGTTGTTTAATTCTCGGCCGATGTCCTCGGGACGTAGGAGAATACCACCGAGGATTTGGGCGGCACCAACAAGTTGTCCGCCGGCTCTGCGTTGTGCAGAGAATAACTGAAACAAGTCACAATTATATTATTATTTATTTGGGCTGAAATAATCTGCTTTGACGCTCACCTAAGGGCTGATTTTTTAATAGTCAGATAAATGTTACTGAGGAACGAAATTGTTGCTGTCACGTCGTATACAAACATTCTGACGCGACAGCATCATAATTATTCCCTTGATAACCTTTACCTAACCATTGAAAAATCAACCCTAAATCAAAAAAAAAAACCAGAAACCTGAACTTAATTAATTTTCGGCCCTTTGTCAACTTAAACGCACTATTTGTGCGTTTAAATTGTCGTTATCCCCATTTTATGTCTTTCCTTAATTATCAAACATAAGAAGAACATCAGTCAATGACGATTTCAAATGTACTCGTTCTATTATTAATAAAGGAACAACTATTTAATAATTACTTTTTCAAAATAATAATAGGTATTTCCCTATTATTGTTATATAACGGCAATTTCATAGGTAAAGACCTATATAAGGCGTTACTTACTTGGTGTACTGCCTAACGGCATGCGACATGAAGTGAGGAGTGAGAGTGTCCGGTATGGACGACACTGCGGTGAGGTTGGCGCGCTGGTCCTCCTCTAACGGGTTGAACAGCGCCACATAACCTGTATGGCCGGTCTTCCACCTGCAGAGGCAATACATTGATAAAGAACCGTATTATATTTGAACAAAATCTGCTTATTTTAGTATATAGCTTATAAAAGCAGAGAGAGAAAGAGAGAAAGTGTCGCACCCTTTTCACGAGTTAATTAAAATATTCAACTGCATGTCCTATTCCGGGTTGTATCCCATGCCTTTGCAAATTTCATCCAGATCCGTGCCGCGGCCGTTTTGTGTCGCGACCTTACCGGAAAGGGCGACTTCAGCAGTAGATTAAGTACCGTAAAACGGGGTGAATAGGTGTTGGTGAATTTAGAAGTAAGAATTAGTATCTATTCATCCCTTTCTGTCTCTATTCACCCCTAGAATTCTATTCACCGATGATAAAATAACATTACCGAGCTACAGCGAGCAGTGTGTTGGTGGAGGAGTTCCGTGCAGGCACGCCGGCCACCACGTAGTGTCCGTGCTGGATGCTCGCGTCGTCGCGCATCGACACGAAGTGCGCCAACGACTCGCTCTGTAAACACATATTCATATTAATCTATAGAAATATTTTAAAGCCGAATAGCTTGTTTGTTTCAAAGCGCTATCTCAGGAACTACTGGACTAATTTCAAAATTGTTTTCACTGTTAGATAGTGCATTTATCTAAAAAGGATATAGATTACAAAAAAAAACTACTAAAACATCACGCTACGAGCTTTGGGAGTCGAGCAGTGGGTGAAACCGCGTGAGAGTATAATAATAGCGAAAAGTTAAAATTTGTAACAGTTGCTTAAAGCTTAGCTAGCTTAGGCTTAGGTAAAAAGATAAATAAATAAAATAAAATAGATAAAAAGGATGTTTACTAAAGATAACATAAAAAGAATATAAATATGGCTATGAATGTGACATACGAGAAAATAATAAAGTTCTCTCATTATAAGGGGAATTAAATACTATACACAAACAGACGTCTTTTCCTTGTCTGCTTCTCGTAGTCATCATAAAATAATAATATATCAATTTCTAAAACTTTTATGTGAAACTGCGGCAAACGAGCAGTCTAATTACTTAGTGGTAAGCCATCGGCGCCCACCCGCAACACTGAAGGAGTTACGAGTGCGTTGCCGGCCTATTGACGGTTGGTCGGGGGATTAAGGTTTCGGAGATTTAAGAATTGTGTAGAGAAGGGGAAAGGATTGGGCTTCCGATAACCTCACTCACACAAAACAACGCTGTGGTTGTTTCACGCCGGTTTTCTATGACCAGTGGCATAACTATGGTAAATTTAATTTTAGAATAATGTAAAGTGAACTTACGGTAGTAGTTTCATTGTCCTCCTTCTCCAGCTGGTGAGGGTTGAGGATGGGTGAGGCTGGCAGTAGCAGCTCGAAAGCCACCAGCTCCTGTTGCGTGTCAGGGAATGTCCTCAACTGTGGAAGAAGACGAACCAGTCAATAGATTGGCTATAAAGAGTAATTATATGCCACAATCCCAGTTTTCTTTTTCTTTAAAAAAACTTTGCCTGTCCCTAGGATTTTCTTCTGTGTTGTGGGTGCGTTTACAAACAACAATTTCACACGCACATGACACCCAGACCCGGAATATCAATTTGTGGATCACACAAAAAGTTGTTCCGTGCGGGAGTCGAACACGCGACACGTTGCACGGAAGCCAGTTGCCCAGCCACCGCACCAACCATGCAACCATCGAAAATAGAATAAATTTGTTGCAAAAGATATTTTTGTTTGTATACGCCGCTTGGATATGGATATACAATATTTATACAAATTACAGATAACTAAAACTATTTTACAAATCACCTTTCTAAAAACTTCATACATTTCTCAACAGAACAGAATATTGAAAAAAGAACTCAAGTTTTATTTTTGATATTTTTTTTTCTTTTATTAAACTAGTTTTCGCTTGCGGCTTCGCCTACATGGTATGTTGCCTATGTCCTATTCTGGAATGTATCCTATACCTGTGCCGAATTTCATCCAGATCCTTCCAGTGGTTTTGGCGTGATTGAGTTACAAACATCCAAACATCGTAACTTTCGCATTTATAATATTAGTAACATTGTTTTACTTACATTCAATGCTGGCCATTTGGCTATCCGCTCGTTAATTTCAGCGGCGGTGGCGCTAACATCGTTCTCTATTGTCAGCGGCTTGGAGACCAGCGGTCGGAGGTACGTTATGTTCTTGTATAAGAGGAACAGCTCCGCGCGACCTCCTTCCTCGTTCAGAGTGAATACTGATGATCCTAGAATCAAGATAGATTGGTTATAAAACCTAATTGTTGTACCAAAATCTAAGTAATCCCATATATTTCATCGGTACTTTCTTTTATTAGATATGATTAGTATAATTCAACATTAAAAGACAGTTGTTACGCAGAGAAAAACATCTGTGCAAACAAAAAACTACTTTTTTAACTATACAACAAAGTACAATTTAGCTCACTCATGCGATTTATACCTACAGAGTTGTTGGCGCAAACATCGCTCTTAAAGAGGGCTTAACTTTGTCACTGTATAATGTTTACATTGTTCAATTATAATAACATTTTATTTGATGTGTTAATATTATTATTGTAAAGTTTTAATTTTATTTAATTAAATTTTACAATATTTGGCATAGGTAATTTATATTATCTATTTATTAAATATGTGAAAGTTCGAATATATTCAAATTTCGAATAGAATTTTATTTGTTTATTATTAGTAGATGAATTTGACCTTACTAATAAAAAAGTATTCACTTACCAGTGCCGGGTGCCTCGCTGGCATCGTCAACGACTTTAGCCCATCGCTGCAGGAGCTCCATCAGTTTGGGCTGGTCCGTGGTCTGTGTGTGTCGCCAGTAGGAATAGTAAGTGTGGTCGGCGGCTAGGTCGCTGCCACGTCCAGTTAGAGGTTGTTCATCCTTCAATTCTGTGTTTACTAGTAACTGGCGGACTTTATTTAACCTGGAATAAAGGATTTTATAATTATAATTATACTAGCGGTTTAAAGATCATAGTGTGATGTTTTATAGCCTATGGCCTTCCTCGAAAAATGACTAACAAACACAACCTGTACCAGTAGTTTCAGAGATTAGCAGGTTCGAACAAACAAACTATTCAGCTTTATAATATCAGTATAGCTATGTTATGCATGTTTTCTATAAGCTTTTCGAGCTGTAAATGGGTTAATCGGAGATACTATCCTTCCCCTCCCCTCATTCTTCCTCAATCCCTATATCTCCAAACTCAAATACCTAAAACGCCGTCAATTTATCTCCCCTGAAGTTTGAATGTTCATGGGCGGCATTGATTGCTTACCATCAGGTAATACGTGTGATCGTTTTCCAAATATGAAGAATATAATAGTAATAGTTAGTATTTTTTAAGAAGGATAAGCACTTGTAAATGACTATTTCGTCGTTAGCGAGGTTGGATACCCGTGCTAAACAGAGACGGGTAACTAGTATATAGTAACTATATCATTTACGTAGAGCTTCCATAGATCTTAGTAAATAAATGCTTTAATTTCAAAAGGCATTATTTGCATAAAGACGTACTGTAATATGTTTAGTTATTAAGAAATAAATAGATACTAGTTTTTCGACTTTTACAAACAAAAAGCGAAATTGTTAAGCACTAAATTGATGACCTACCTGACACCAGCTGCTCCGGCCTTCATCCATTGCTTGAGAACGTTATCAAACTCCTTGACCACCTCCTCATTGTGGAAGTTCAGGTCTGGCTGCGAAACGTCGTACTGGTGCAAGTAGTAAGCCTTGCGCTGCTCGCTCCATGTCCATGCCGACTGGTTCAGAGTTGATACCTAGAGTGTATGAACATTTTATATAACATGGTTCCAAATAATCTTGAGTTATTATACCTTATAACCTTATAACAAAACAATGATGTTGAGGAGAAGAGCTTCGTCACCACAACGTATGTTATACCGAGTGGCATTTTTAACGAGGGAGATATTGCTATTAATTTTAAGTGTGGGAGAGCCATGCTTCGGCACGAATGGGTCGGCTCGACCGGAGTGATACCACGGCCCCACAGAAAAACGTGAAACAGCAACAGCGTTGTGTTTCGCCGTGTGAGTGAGGTTACCGGAGGCCCAATCCTTCCCCTCCCCCGACTTTACCCCAATCCCTAAATCTCCAAATCCCTAATCCCTAAAAGGTCGGCAACGCACTCGTAGTAGTACTTTGGTACGAGTGTCCGTGGGCGGCGCTAACTGCTTACCACTAGGCTGATCCGTCTGCTCGTTTGGCACAATAAAAAATAAACATCCATTTTAAAATTACAGGTTACATAATATTGTACTATAGCACTTACCCAGTTATTAGGAGGCACCCTGCGACCGCTCTCATCAAAGAAGTTACCTTCCTTCCACACAAAGTAGTTATCATAGCCATCAGTTTTGTTCTCGCTCATACGGAACCACATGTGAGATAGTGGCACGTAGTTGGGGATCAAATCTACAATGACTCTGTAACAATATTTTACGGGTTAGAAGAAATTATAGTAAACTAGCGTGCCCTGCGGTTTCATCCGTAGTCGGCCGTACTGTCTGGCTTACAGTACGGCCGCCGTATCTTGGCGAGTCTGAAGTTAGCCGTTTGTCTGCGCAATGGATCTTTTAGAAACAAAATTGTGTAGTGCGGCAGCTAATCGGCTAACTTCAGACTCGCCAAGATACGTCGGCGGTATTGTACGTTCACCAGAATAGTGTAGCTTTGAGACAATGTAGATATTTATTGAAAATAACCAGTTACGTGAATAAGAATCCCGTTTTGACGAAAACTATAGTCAGACTTTTAATTCGATTCCTGATTTGACATGACCTATTGTCATTTTGTGAAATAATGATACCACATATAACAATGTAGTGATGAACACAAAAATCGATAAACAATCAGTGAATCAGTTTCAGGAAGGCATTCAAAAAATTACGGCTACCGAATGGTCTAAATGTCTATCACATGTTTTCAAAGAAGAGGAAAAAATGAGTAAGCTAGATATGTTAATTGACAATAAATATCAAAGACACAATTCATAATAATTGTTACATGGAGTAACGGTTATAGCGATAGCGATGACGGCGACAATTTATAAAATGTCTATTTTATTTGTCACGTTCCTTCATGATCACATTTTTTATTAATTTCACACACAATTACAAAAGAAAAGTCTCAGATCGTTAATTAATTGTCAAAACTAAATTATCGGTTCTGAAATATTTTATTTCCTGATAAACTTAGTTTACGAGAGTAAATTTATAAACGAGAGGAATCGATTCAGAAAAAATCGATTTCCATATCGAATAATTTCGCAACGTCACTATTTATTACGTGTCATAACGTTGCAACACTGAAATTGTCAAATCTGGAATGGAATTAAAATTCCGAGTATAGTAGATTTTCTCAGTTCGTGCATGTGACTTTTTCGTTATTTTCAATTAATTCAGTATGTCTCACTATAGTTACAATTAAAAAAAATATCAATTTTTCAAATCGGTCAATTAGTTTCAGAGCATATTGAATCCAAATGTTTTCTCTTTATTACATTAGTCTATTATGAATTGAGTAATCTTGAAGTTGTCTCTTCAAGAGATGTTAAAAGCGATCATATTTATTTTTGATGCAAACTAATTAGTTGTTCTGTTTTCATATTTAAAAAAATATTTTGTGTACTCTTAGTTGCTAGCCAGGATGCTATAAAATTCTCACAATAACATTCACTACAAAATAAATTCAAAACTGAAATCCAAACCTACATAAACCAAACAATATTATAAATGTGTAAAGTAACTCTTAAGTCTGTCTGTCTTTCTTTTCTTCACGCCTAAACTACTGAACCTATGTGTGTGAATTTACATGGTACAGACATAGTTTGTATCTTGAGAAAGGACAAAGGATAGTTTTTAAATCAAAAATCTGCAAGAAGTCACTATATCATGCGAACAAAGTCGCGGGAAAAAGCTAGTCAAAATAACAATTAAAAAAATAAACACTCACTTGATACCATGGCTCTTGGCCATGCTGACGAACCGCTTGAAGCTATCCAACACACTGGGATTCTCATCAATGATCTCATAAGTAGGAACATCCACAAACACTCCCTGTACTTTGAAATGTTCCAGCAGCTGCAAATCATCTTCAATTTCAGCGTAAGGAGATTCTTCCATGTCCACTAGAAGGCCTTTTAAGTACCTACAAAAAATTACACTGTTAAAAGATTTTCGACCTCTCGACCTCCAACCTGCTTGCATGGACATTGATATATACCCATTCATGTAAAGGAGGCCTAATGGTTAAGGTCGTTATGGGCTGTTGAAGAAGTCGTAGATATTTATTTAACTTACTGGTTAGTGTAGTGAACAGGATTGCAGTGTAAAAGATTCTGATCTTTTTTAGAGTGGGGTAAATCACCAAATGACTTGTCTCGCCCAGCGTGAGACGAGAAGGTACTCCTTCTCGTCTCGGTCTTTTAGTCGGTAAGAGTCTGATACTTCAGACTCTTACCGACTAAAAAACCTAACTAAAAAACCACACCATTCCTTCTCCAGGCCGTATTTTATTACGCATGACCCGCACCCCCTTTATATTATATTTATACATATATTAGCAAGAAAAAGAAATTAAGTGTATCGCCAAATCAAGGAATGAGAGTGTGTCTAAAAATATTTTTACCTACGATGAACTGAATTCCTTATCCATCAGCCAAAATGAATAAAGAAACTCAATTCAAATCCTTTAGATTTATCTATATTTTCAACACAAATCAATTCTAGAGGTAATTATATTATTGTATAAATCCCCATCAACCCAGACCCTTTTCTATGATAACTGATATTAATTTTAGTAGGTAGATAGAATTCTGTTTAACATACCATGTCTTAGGTTCTGGGGCAGCACACTTGGGAGCCTTGACGATGATGGTGATGGCACCAGCCAGCATGGCGAGCCAGAGCGCCCAGAACAGAATGAACATTGCCCATCGCAGGTTCACCCAGAATGGGTCATCTGCATACTTCAGTAACTCTTCCTTCGTCAGCCCAGAGAATTGCTGTAATAAAAAATAATGTTTTAAATGTGATCATTTATTACTTACAATTAAGTTAGATCTGTTTCCCTAAATGTGTTGGACAGAACACCAACTCTTGCAAGTCAAGTAAAGTCCCATGTAATGGGAGAATTTTCTATTGATTTTTTTGTATTTAATTACCTAATTAGTTTTTAAGTACCAAGATAATAGTATTTATATAAAATTAACAGTATAACTTAATGGCGTAAGCTGTAATGTTGTTTATGTAAATTTTCTAAATAAATAAATGGGGACCAACTGATTAATTGACCGAAAGTTTTTATAAAACAATAGGTTCAGTCTTTCTCAGTCAGTCACAGTTTTATACTGTGTAAAAACCTAGACTGAGATTTTTGATTTTTGATATTGTCTCAAAGAACCCAATAACACTTGACCTGTTCTGCTTAACTGACAGTGGAATAGAATTCAAAAACAGTGTATTATCTAATTAAAATATACCTAAAAGGTTGAATAACTTTTAAGTAAATTCCATAAACAAAAGCATGATAGAATCCGCCTCGATGGTACGTGATTAATTTTAATTACAAGTCATAGTTTATCTCGACATATCATTTATTTGTATCTACTGCATTGAAATAATACACAATACATGTGTTTATATTATCATGTCAGCGTTCCAATTTAGTTAATACGTGCTTTCCTATGAAGCTGTGTTACTAAATAAACGGATCCAAAGTTAAAATATAAATATGAGAGTATCATCATCAGTCTATAAGTGTCCAATGCTGAGCAAAGGCCTCTTCTCACACGGAGAAGGTTAGAGCATTGATCACCACGCTCGCTCAATACGTGTTGGCGATTTCCTTACCGTATGTCAGTGGTGTCTAAATAATCATAAAAAGTACATACAACTCGGAAAAAGTCACATTGGTACTGCCAGGTTTCGAACCTACACCCTCATGCATAAGAAGCGGGGTCCTTAACCTCCGGGCCAACACGACTATGAGAGTTTATTTTACGCAATGAAACTAAATTCCGGAAAAAAATATACCAGTGCCCCAACCACACGCAAGGAAAGGAACGGGGTGGTTTAGTCAGAAAGTCTGACGCTTCCTCTCGCGGTATCAAAACGGTACATAAATTAGGCAAAGAGGTAGCTTATGTATTCTGAAAATGTAGGTAACTCTATTCCATTAAAACGAAATCGAGGGACAGAGTGACGGACAATTCAACTTTGTCTTTTCAAAAGAGCCTATTCATAAGGATGGATTAATTGAAATAAATTCCATGACTTTGACATTAACGTTGAGAACAATACCCAAGCTTGTATTATGATACAAGCAAGATTAATATACTTCGAATTCAATAAAGAGATGACGTCATCTATATTATAAAAGAAAGTCGTGGTAGTTACTCCACTTATAACTCAAGAACGGCTGAACCGATTTAGCTGAAAATTGGCAGGGAGGTAGTTTAGAGCCAGGAGAAGGACATAGGATAGGATAGGAGGTAGGGTAGGTAGTTTAGGTAGGTTAGGTAAGGTAGGTAGGGTAGGTAGGGTAGGTACTCAAATGACGGGAGCAACACCGCGGGTAAGAGCTAGTAATTCATAATGATTTTATGAGATGGAAAATCCCATAATGAATGTTTATAACAGAAATACATTCATTTTATACAGTTTCTTTATCTTACAAGGAAGATGCAAAACCAATCAATCTACCACTAGAGTAGTTTATTCAGCAATTATTACAAGCGACGTGCTTCACTTGTAAAACGGATCTAGATCGATCTTTAATCGCTGTTCATTGTACTTTAATCAACATTTAAATTGGATAATTCTGTAGATTGATTCGATGGAACAACTGCCTGTATTCGTTTTATGTTTCGTGAATAAAGATGTCTAGAATAGACTTTTAATTAGTCAACAATAGGTGTAATTTAAAAGCTGATCTAGATTGCTTTGTTTATTTGAAATCTATGGATACAAATTAATCACATGACAATGGCTAATCTAACAGTATAAAAATACTGTTGTCCTTTTTTATTAAATTCTTAAAGAATAATGTATTTTTTTAGTTTTAGGGTGCAAACTTGGTTGTAACTTTGTTGTTATTGTTTCATTTGATTGTATGTCGGTGCTGACCGTGGACATTGGCAATAGGATAAGAAATAACTAATATAAAAAGTTAAGATGTATGTGAAAGGAGCAAGCGGAGAGCGGGACACCGAAAAAGAATAGATATGGTGTCTATCACGACTACATAAATTGTCATGACTGGGCTATAAAACGGTAAAATTTTGCAAAATACGAACCGCAGTATCTTGATCATCTACAGATTCTTCCCCATCAGCGAGTAGCGAGCAGTTATAAAAAATTCTATTATAAAAAAATAAATAAGAAGACACCTCTGCCCTTAGCGTTTGGGACATTTTTAAATTGTTTCTCGATATTCGTTCTGGCTGCTGCAGTTGCATCACATGTACCTTATTTGGAACCCCAAACTATTTGGAAAATAATGCCGTTATATAATGAATGGACTGGCGATAAATTATTATATCACCGTTCGCTAGTGCGTGATAAACATTGACGTTTAATTCCATTGACAAATATTTTTATTTTTTACTTTCCTGATTGTACAATGTCACGGAACCACCGGTAGTCGAAGTCTTAAGCAATAAGGTTGGTTATTAATAAAATAAACAATTAATGTTGTAAAAATTACCGTTAAATGGGAATAGCTTTTTTTTTGTAAAAATTCTTCGAAATTCTGTCTACAACAGATCTTTTATAATTAAACTCAGTGTGTGGCAAATAACCTAGCTAACTGGAACAAGGAGTGTATAGAAAAGGACCTTGGCCTTTAACACATCCTGCAGATCAGTGTATCAACAAGGAAAATGATTTAACAAATTGACAACAACAAAAAAGTTGCACATCCGACCACAACCCCAAAAAACCGTCGTGAAACAACGTTTGCGTTATGTTTCGCCGTGTGAGAGTTACCGGAGGCTACTGTATGGTTGCGCGGCGAGAGAGCCGCCATGCCCAATCTCCAAATGGCCGGCAACACAATTGCAACTTATCTGGTGTTACAAGAGCCACTGGGCGGCGCCGATTGCTAACCATGCTTCATGTGATATCTCTTTGCACAAAGAAGCAGTGTATACGTAAAAATTTAACACAATAATTCCACTTACCCGTTTGTTAGCATCAAGCTCGATCTTAGCGTCTCCGTTCCTGTGGTCTTCCACCACATACTTGGCATCAGCCATGTCGACCCGGGTCACTATCTTGGCCTCAACTTCTTTGGGCAGTAGCTTCTCCTCCGCACCGTCAGGAGAAAGTTTCTCCTTAGATTTGGAGAGATTGGATTTTGATGACCGAAAGTCTAGAAGGTACAGTAGCTATTAGACTTCTGAATATGTTTAAGGAGAAACTCTATGATGGGAACCAAAATTGTCCCGGTAGGAAGCACATGATAAAGTAACTTTTTCTGACATAAAACGCTGATTGCTTGGACTTAAGTTTTTAAACAAAGCATACATTCAAACATCAAAGCCAAAACATACTTGAGACTCAAATTCCGTTTTGAATTTAAACAGCAGAATAATTAGCTTAATATTTTAGTGTAAGAGTCTCAATAAGCTATCGGTAGAGCAGTTAATGAAAATTAAAAAAACGTGCCCAAATAAAATCTCTTCAAACGACATTATATTACTGAAAATGGAATCCACATAAAAAACTTCATATAATTTACCTAAAGATATAGAATGGACGTTCTATAGGCCTAAACAATTATGCAGACAGGTTAATAAACTAGGCACCGCTAACCGCTAGGCAACTGGGATGTCGCATGACCGCAATATGTATGTACCTAGGCATAGTTACAATGAAATAACCGCAGCGTAACCCTAGACTATGCCGATGCTTTATTTCTCCCAACGATTCCAAAAAAGTATTATCTGTCTCTGCAAACTTCACATAAACGAAGACGAAGACATAAGACCAAAGTGTTTCAAGATTGTCTTATGCATTTATAATCAAAATTATAAAATCGAGACAAGATTTCTGGACATTCTTAACACATAAATAATAAACGTGTACCGAACAACTAATTCAACCGTGCTTCAGCTTGCTACACCGAAATTTGGCACAACTACACATCACACTGAAACGACACAAATATTTTTACAAGGTTAACGTACCGAAACACTTCAAAAATCAATTTAAATCATGGGAAAATCGTCGCCAAACCCGGTCCAAGTTACGTCAGAATTGTTCCTACCCGTTCGAAGCACGTTGCCCCACTAACGATCCAGCTCGCGGGCTGCCGTATAGCGGTATTAAATTCTGGAATAGATAGATCTATTCTCGTCTCTACCGTCCTTGTTGAGCTAAAAATGTCACCCCGATAACTTCTAAATCCCCTCACATAGAACCAACGAGGTCAACGTGGTCACACCCTTACTTTTATAAGAACCCTTTTTACCCAGGGTCAAAATGGTCGTTATTATTGTTAAATATAAATACGCACGCAACTAACAGCCGTTTTAAGTACAAACTAAACATGTAACAAGTTATTTTCACTGTGAACCCATTAATGAATTTTTAACAGCTTTCTAATGAAAGTTCGAGCACTCACTTTCTTTAAAACTTCGATGCTGAGCCCTCGAACGGAAAATTACGACTACAATCGTACGGAAGTGCAGGGCCCTTATATTAAGTAGGAGTACCCACACAAGTAGATGTAGTATGAAGTATTTAAAAATTATAGGGACCGAGAATGCTCGTGCATGATGAAATCGGTTCCGAAAACTCAGCGGGGGCAAGCTTTTTGTATTGGAACCTGATTTCGGAAGTTAGCAATGCAATGAGGCTGGTTTTGGGGTTACAAAAAATATTCGCATTATGTGGCTGTGGATGTACGTTGGAAGATGAAGAATGCTTAATGTTATGTATTTTTATTTATGTTAACATTTTTGGCTCACTCGAATTTTAGGTCGTAGACCTTTAGTATACGAATAAGAAACACGCTGACTGCACTTACTTGTTGAAAGTATTGTCCGTACAAAGAAACTATATTTCCAGTGCTATTGATATTACATTCCCCGAAGTGACCGATAGTGTCAACGAAAAAATACACAATAACAAGAACCACACACAATCCGCTCCAAGACCACTCGATCACTACCTTCGAAGTGGGTAAAATGTCTCAGTTTACACCTAATGGAATAATGGCTTCACACTAAATGGACAAACAAACACATTTGTGAACGACTTATTCCGATAAAGATTAAACCAGACCTTTTCCAGGCTCTTAATACGATGATTAAGTTAATTACTTTGTTACTTAGGCTATTAATAGTTTTTAAACAAATAGCTTACTAACTATCTTCATCTGTAAGTGTCGATATATCTAAACTGAGAAGTAATTAGGATGTCTTTATTAAATACTCTTTAAAATTTTCACCAGTTCTATTTATTTATATTACTCGGAGCAAAGGTATTCCAGGCACACAGGTACTTCAACGCCACCATCCTCATCAAAGCTGCGCAAACTCTTCAAAACATTTTTGATAATATCATCCCAAAAAACCGCTATAGCTTTAGCAACAAGATAATCTAATTTTCTCACTATTCCTCCTCTTAAATGTTGACAATAGATTAGGGGGACACTTGGCACTCTTTACGAAATTGCTATCCAACATTTACTCAGTCTATTTACCGCGAGTAACCTAATTCCACAAAGTGACTGAGCTATCAAGAGAATAGCTCTTTGCCAAACGTTTTAATCCTTTGAGAATTTAATCCGTTCAATAAAGGGACGTGAAATATTCTAATAGAAATAAAATAACAGACAATTTTTTTCGGACTTTCAAACTTTCTGTTGGAGTAAAACAAATGAATAACGAAGTTACAGTTTTCGGGTTTTTCATTACCTATACAGTACTTTGTGCTTTTAATTTTTGGGCTCTGTGTGTATCTCCATAATACCTACAGTAAGGGGCCTCTTAACTTTATACCAAGCACGACTTGTTTGTTATACAGATTGCTATGTAAACTTCCGATTTCAAGATGCAAATTACAATGACCTTGCTTTTCAAATAATGTGACAATGTGATTAGTGCAGATTCCGTGGTGTAACCTAATCGCTGTAGAAAAAAGGGTAATGGAAAACTAGGAAGGGTTGTACAAATTAGACCAACTGTCTACTAATTTAGTTGTTCTGGCTTTACAAGGTTTAGTTTTTTACTAAACGCATTAAGGCAATGAGACATGTACTAAAACCCGGAATAATTGGTTAATTGTACGGTGTATGGTGTTTGGCAGTTCCTAGATGCGGAGAACTGAAGATTGAACTCATTGGTTTGATAATGAATATGGAGAGGCTTATTTTTAACAGAAAATCGATTTCAAAATTTAAGGACTCAAAGGTAAAACAGGGAAATCAAACAAGCATCTGCAATGACTTGGGAAAATTAGCGCTATTAAAGAAAGTAGACCAGCAAAGACTATTTTTATATCTATTGTTGAAATAGCCACGAAATATTTTTTATGAAGGCCTCATATTCTTTACAAAAATAAGCAGGAAAAGCAAGAAAACTATATGCATTTATCCTAAACTCACCTACGCACCACTCAATAGCTTGGAAAGCACTCAAAAATGCGCTTGAATAAGAACAATAGTCGATTTTACAGTAATATACAAGTGAAAATTAAAACACATCAAGTACAATAGAATCGTGGCTTGGTTTGAAGACCAGTGATATCACAGGCGTGACTGTGGTAGTGGTAATATGAAGATCATGTTTACAAAAATTAGCAACGAATGATAGTTCTAAGAACCTTACCGCAAAGGTATGTAGCTGTGTATTGTGACAACTAAACAGCCAGAAATAGATTTCATAACACTATCGTTAAACTGTTATCGCGTTTATTTGATACTATTTTTAGGTATTATACAATTATTTATAAAATTGATTAACGACTTATTAAAATTAATGTTTATTCGTCTGTTTCCCTTTATTTTGAAACTAATTTTGCCCTACGTAGCTAGGTACCTACTTTGTTGACGATTATGTACCTATTGCCATCTAGGGACTACAGTTTCAATCTGTGATGAATTACATCAAAATTAGTAAAGTATTTTAGGTGCGACAGCATATAACCTTTAATTTGTTATAATACAACTTCGTGGTAAAAGCATACCACGGTACTACAGTTTGCACTTGCATTATAAAACTGGCAGGTCTGTTAGGTTAGCGCACTTAGCGCAGTTACAGTGCGGCCGACGTATCTTGGCGAGTCTGCAGTTAGCTGTTTGTCTGCGCAATGGATCTTTTAGGAACAAAATTGTGTACTGCGCAGCTAATCGGCTAACTTCAGACTCGCCAAGATACGTTCGGCCGCACGCAGGATCGAGAGTATATGATTCTCCGTAGCATAAAGCAGGAGTTTGAATAGGGTTGTCTTTAGTCAGTAGGATGAAATTCTTTATCGTCCCACCCAGAATGAATAATTTAATGACATTCCGTTTACGCACGCGAAAAAAAGGTGTTAATTCTTCGAGTTCAGTTTCGTTTGGCGTTCCTATCACAACCAAGTCAGATATTATTTTATCTAGAAACATTGTGTAACAGGACTAAGTGAATGATTTGTTTTTTCAGACATTACTATGTCCCCATTTTGTACAAATACTGTAAAGCAAATAGGAAATTGTTATTCCTCATAGTTCGTTTATTTTAACGCGCTAATCTCTGGACCTGCTGGTTCAAATTTAACAATAATTTGTTTTGAATAGTCCATTTATAAAAGAAGGCTATTAAGCTATAATACATGCTACGACCAGTAGGAGCCGAGCAGCGGGTGGTACCACGCGAGAATAGGTACTAAATAAATAAAATGTACTGAAAACCACATTTGTAGAATTCCAGGACAAATGTAATGCTTGTTTTAGTTAGAATTATGAACATTTATCCTTTTCATAAACCAATGCTCTTGAAGTCTTAATAGTCTTGGAGCCAAATTCATGTAAACAGGAAAATAAACTTTTAACATAAACAAATGGGATTTCCCTGTATCTATAAATAAAATATGTAAAGTCCAGAAAATGGTTTCATTATAAAATTTATTTTTTTATAAAACAATTCATCATCAAAAATTATTAATTACGCATTCCATGTAAATAAATCACCCTTGACTTAGAAAATCTGGCACAAATATATAACAATATTTAAATCATAGTTTAGATTACAACACCCACAAAACCCAAAATTCTTCACTTATTTTAAACATTTTCTTCAAAAGCAGCTTGTAATATTTGGAAACTAAACCATACTTAATGGTTAACCAGCCATTTTATGACTTTAACAGGCAAAGAGACCTCATAAATTGAATTTATCTGTGTTTCATTGTCAAGTAGTCAGTTACACAACACTAAATATTACAGTTTCATTTATATTATCATTTTATATTTCAGTCATCTGATTTTTTTTTTAATTCCCATTCTTTTGAATGTCAAACAAAATTTTGAAGATATAGTGTCAGTCTGTCGGTCAGTCCTCTTAGTGAAGGTATTTGCTCGTTCCAGAGTGTTGATTACGATGGAGAAGAACATATAGGTACAATGGCATACTTAGAATAAAATAATTGGATTATGACATCACATGAGAAGTTCTGCTTAAATTCCACTTGATAAGAGGCAAGGTTAATTAATGCTCTCAAATACATGCATCAAATGAACTATTGAGATTTCTGAGTTAAAAACCTCAATCATTATTTACCCATGACCTGAGAATAAAATCTATGATTTTATTACCCAGGAGTCAAACTTTTAAACAATAAAAATGATGTAACTTTTAAGTATTCGAATGTAAGTTGTCAAGGAATTGTTGGAACAGTCTATTTCTTTCCCGCTGTATACTATTTGATTCTTGTACTATATTTATTAATCTATCTAACTTCTCTTCTACTGTCCTCTGTCTGTTCCTCATTTCTAAAGTTATTTTCCTAAAGTCTGCATATCTTCTTCTATTAAATTTTCTTTTAGACTCTTCACTTTGTCCATTTGATGACTCCCCATTTTCTTGGACATCCTGCTCATAAGTCGAAGGCTCAGCTATAGACAATAATGCTTTGGTCACACTCTCTGTGCTCGCCTCTTGTATCCTCTGCTGTATTTCTGGCTGGTATTCACCATTCACATTATAAATCTTCTCAAAAACTTCAAAATATGGCCATTTTACTACAACAACCTCATTTCTATTCCTTTTCTTTAGTAATCTAATGTATGTTTGTTTCAGATTTCGAAATTTTTTGTCACAACAGTCTGGGCCTTTTCCTACAGCATTAGCTATATCAATCCACACATTTTTCTTCTTGACTTTAGGACTACGGAACTTGTCAACATTCTGCAGATAAAGATTTAAAAGCATTTTTATGCTGTTATGTTCCCAGTGGTCATCTATATCGTCAGCAGGCTCTGTTTCCATTATTTCATTTTGGTTTAACTGCATATACACCTCTTCAGTCTCCAAATACTCAACAGGTTCAGCTGAAAATAAAGTTTGGTGTGATAGTCTTCCTAACTCACAGACAAAAGACTGATTGTACAAGCATTTGATTCTCAGACCTAAATGGTAGTTAGTTACTTAACCAATTTATAACAGGCGGGCCATTCAAATAGAGGTCCTTTGCAAGTGAATTGAATTTGCAGGAAGTTTCTCATCTACTTCAATAGATTGGGTTACCACTTGTCTGAGCTCAAAGATAAAAGCCAAAAAATATGTTTACCACTCATTTTCTTGATGTCTTCTTCAATTCCTTCGAGTTTTATCGAGTTGAGGAAATCCTTGATACAAATTAACGTTCAAATATTGCAAACAAACTTGTATCTTGCATCATTCAGCGGACGAGAACAAAATGGCGCTGACTGCCGCGGCGAATAAAGCGCTTTATAACCCGACCAAGAGAGAAAGTCATCTACGTACAAAATATTAAACGAATTCTTAAAAGAAAAATACAATTGAACCAGGTTATAAATTTATATCGATGAAAACTGTAATAAAATTATATCAAAATAATTAAAACACACAAAAATTACATAGTAAAAAGTCTACACTTAGCTGAAAAATAGGGGTTTTTGGACATTTCATTTTAGTCGGTTAACATTTTGGCTTTGACGTTTGCTGTCGACCTTGTTATCTGTGCCTTTCATTGATAACGTCATGACATGATAAAATTGATAAAGGAAACAGCAATCAAGGTTTTATATTTAAATAAGACTAGTTCTTATTCAGTTATAACGAAAATGACGACATATTGAAATGATATTTAAGAATTGCAAATTTATCCCACCACAACCATTTGCAAATTTATGACAGGGTCGCTATATATATACAACAATAAAATTTTAATATTGATTTTACAAGAATTAATAAGTCAAAACTATCGAAATACCTCCATCGGACTCAGGAATAGGCTTGTAGGAGGCGACGTGTTCATCTTCTTTCACCTGCCCTCCATCTATGGTGAGATGGTTTTTTCGCGTTTCCGACATGATGGATTAGGGACTCGTCCAACCGGGTCCACAATATCGAAAAGCAGACTGTTTCCCTTTTAATTTACAATTAAAACAATTAACTTTTACAATGCGCTTCTCAGCTCGCGCTACTCAACAGCTGTCAGAATAAATTACACGAAACGAATGAAAGAACGAACTTGAATTGAATGGAAAAGAACAAAGAACGAAAGAACCTTACCACGCCCTCAACTTGAACGACTCTATGCTTCAATCTTCTTCGTTCAATGAAGTAGTTCTTTTGAGACTAAACAGCAAAAATAAGGTCAAAAGATCAATAATTTTTAGCCATGAATTGCCATAAAATATTTTATTTTTCCATGAATAGAAACCGAGTCACATGAACTATCGTTTAAAGTAGACAACGAATTATGTAAATTAACAATTCTACGATATATATTTATCTATATATTTTTTATGGGACAAGTCCGCCGCAACCTACACTGCTGCAGCTGCAACTCCTGTAAGCCAGGATCTACAGAAGATACTGTAGATACAACCATGAAAACACCGGGACACTGAAATCCGGCGCGTCCCAGGGACATGAATGACTATCTTGGATCCCGCAACGAATTAAAACAGAAATTATTATTTGAGAAGAAGAAAAAAACGAAATAGTTTCCACTTCCCTCGGTAAATTTAATGCAGGAGACAGAATGACTTAGGCTTTAAAGGCACAGAAGAGACTGCACAACTGTTAGAAGCCCAGTCATCAAACACCACGGGAAGTATTCTAATTGTAATGAGACCTACGTGTGAACTGCAATAATTGTTTCCCGTAATAGATATAGCAAAAACGCATGGTCTACATTCCACAAGGTCTGATAATAAACTTCACCAGTTGAGACATTTAAATTAAATTATATCTAACATTATGTTACGTTCGTATTGCTAGAGACTACACTCCCGGAGTATATATTGGGTGAACTGCTCGTATTGCAGATCCGCTGTCGAACATTGGCACCATTTTTTTTTTGTCAGGGGAAAATCATCCAATGACTACTCCCGCCCAGGGTAAGGCGAGAGAGAGTGTCAGACTCTTACTGACCAAAAACCCCCCGTTCCTTCTCCTGCTCTGGGCCGAGGTCGCAGTGCCTCATTGCGCTTAGCCCCGCTAAAACATTGGCACCATGGGGTATCAAAATGAAAATAATTTGCTTTTAAAGTTGCCATGACTCGTGAGAATCTAGGCTACACGACCTCTAACCATGACTTCTCCAGCCGCTCTACAGATGGAAAAAACTGATAAAAGTGGCGGCCCGTGAGAGAAGATTCCCATCTACACTGACATTCAGTAACGAACTCTCGTTTCGTCCGCAAGTGGCTTAAATAATCTTGAAATTTTGTTTCAATTGCATTGTGCTAAAAAGTTTGCAGAAAAGTTTTGTCTCGTGTTGTAATACAAAGCAGCACGTGCGTCGCTGCACCTCAAGATCGACGGGAGGTAATCCTACAAGTAGGGCCTCAGTGCTAACTGTCCTGTAAGCCTTAACTACATATAAAAATTAAAGCCAAACTAAACCAATAGGTGCGCATGAAGGTTTCCATCGTACCGCACCAATTGTCACCCTATCAGCACAGATAGGTCCAGACAAGAAGCTCCCCATGTAGGTAGCTTTTGAGATTCTTTGGCTTTCTCACCGTGTGTTTAATACAAGAAAAGTTTTTTTCCAGAACTAGACCGAAATAGAAAACCGACTCCTATCGTTTTACCGGAACGCTCCATTTCATAATTTTTTTTTGTGTCAATAATTAGCATTCTAGATAGGACATACTATGTACCTGTTTAAAAAAAACTCTAAAAGCAAAAATTTAAAAATTGTTGATTTTATGATTATTGTTCTTTTTTTTTGTATTCCATTGTTTTTTTGTACAATTTGCAGTTAATGGTAACGTATTATTATCTACTGTGACGTGAAGTCAGTTTTTTAATGACCCTTTTTTACATGTTTTAATGATAACACATGTCACTGTCATCAGTAACAGTAGCTGTCATTGCGTCGTATTTTTTGACGTATAAACAGTCAAAACATTATCAGCTTTAAAATTAAACAAAAAAAATAATGAGAATTTCAATGTAAAATTACAAAAATAATAAGAAAATGAACCAGGACACTATAGTTTTATAATAATTAAGTTTATAAATTAGTGATGATAAGTTGAAGTTGTTTAATACTATTTTATTTTTGTTATTGTTATATAAGTTTCAATATTTTACAGAGCTTTAATAGATAGATGTTATAATTATATTAAAATGTGTACTATACCACCTCCGCCTCCTCCACCCACACTGCCTAACATCAATTCACCGACGAATGTACAAAAAAACGGAGAAGGAAACCAACCAAGTTTTGATCCAGAAATATGCACCTGGGCATCTGAGCACCCAGAATTGAGAGAAGCTTGTTTTAAAAACAGAATCTGTTATGAAAAACCTCCTTTTAAATACAAATATAGATATTTTGAATCTATATTGCAGATAGGTCCAACTTGTGGATTAGTTGCATTGTCAATGGCAGTAAATGGAGAAGCATCACCTGATGAATTGTTAAGTATCGCGAAATTGGAGGGTTACACAAGCAATGGAGAAATGTTCAGCTGTAAAAATATGGTGAAACTGACAGAGAAAGCCTACAGCTTAGCTGAGATTGATAATGTTAACTGCACATTGAAACAAGGAGGTTTGTACAGCTCGGAGACTATTGAAAGACTTCTTAATGGTGCTGTTCTTTTAGTTCCGTATCCTTTTTCAAGCCATTTCTGTTATTTAAAAAAAATGAAATTCTTTTCAGTATTAATTGCTCAATGTTGTAAAATGAATTTAATTGATGTTGTTATGATTTTGTTAAACCACCAGGTTCATAATTTATCATTTATCTTTGCATGTAGCATTTTTCGAGCTTACTATGATGTTACAATAATTTTGACTTCTAACTTTCCTTGGTATATGTATAAGTACTAATAATATGGATGGAAGTATTTTCATCAGTAACAATAACATAAAAAAATATAAGAGCATAAAAATTTCCTTTATTCTAAAACCAGATATGATGCTGACTGCAACCACTCACCATGTCTAAAGAATGGTCACACAGCTCACTGGGCTCTAGTATGTGGCATTATTATTGTAAATGACCCCGGGGATGACTACATCAGTGACCAGAAAAATGTCTATGTACTTTCCAGACATGGAAAATCCAAATACCTATCTGTCTGGAACTTGTATGACCTAGCGCAGAGTAACAATAATCTTTACGAGTTTTCCCCCAAAAAGGGGGCTGATGGCTTGGTCTATATCCTCCCTGAGGGAGGCATAGGAGGGGAGAATGGATTGAGGGACCAATTTCTAATATTTGAGGGTTACTAAATATTTAAGAATAAGCACAAATGTTGAAGCATATCTGTTTTCTGATTAAATAAATTTGACTCGAAAATCCACAATAAAAGATAAAGAATTGCACAAAATCTTAAAAAATATGGTATGTTAATCACCTGCCCTTTATAATTAGCGGATTTATATGAGGTATACAGGAAAATGTAACTTTTTTTAGGTCACTTTAGTGTAATAATGTTGCTACACCATAATTATACTCTTATTATTTAAGTCATTTATAAAGTGATGAGTCTGATACGGCCTACAAATATTGACATTGAATGACCACTCATCTTATATATCATCTTTATTTATATATATCTTTATTATATCTCATCTTATAAATTTTTGTAGTTTTTGAAATTTTTTAGTATTATTCTGTTGTATTTTTGTTCAAGGGATTGTTGTTATACTAACGGTACAAGTGTGTGATCTATAAATTTGTAATTTTCGTAATTAGGTAGATAATATGTTATATAAAATATATAAAAAATGTGCAGTTACCAAAAGGACATTATTATGTCGTATTTATTTATCTGTAAAGAAACTATTGTTGATTAAAATCAAATAAACTATTTTGTTAAAAAGAAAAAACTCGTGTTTTAATGCAAAATGTTTATTTGTACAATAAATACAAATTATACTTGCAAATTATGATAAAATAATAAATCTCATCACATTACTTAAAAATATCGTAATGAAATCATATTTTAATGACTTACAAGTCAAATTAAATGTATGTTTCAATTCTCAAGAAGTTTTCACATTATTGCACAGTCTGTGTTGCACTAATGTAAATAATGCATTGAATTTTCAAACAGTTTTTTGTTGAAACATAAAATGTAAGATATTTTGTACTAATTAACTCAACTTAAATGAAATTCTCGTAGCACTAAGATAAGTTTGTTTGGCCATTACAGATGGACATAACAATTTGTGATGATTAGGTTACAAAGTAATACAAATACATTAATACACAATGACGATGGCTTACAAGCTCCATTAGTGAAATAAATATAATCTAATATATTCATTAATTTCATTGTAATATAGAAATGTGCCAAATGAATTCTCAGTCAGCAGTAGTAATGAGATCAAATAATAGTTTTTTTTGGCGGGAAAATGTTAGTTACCACAGTTGTAGGTTATGGAGTTTTTATAGCTACAAATTGTTGTGCCTTCGAGTTTTACTATATTTCCCGCCATTTAATAAAATATTTTACATTTAATAAAAATCTTAAAACATGCTAACACTCCTATGATTAAATTTTAGAATACCTACATAAAAAATACACAAATTTAAAAACGCATTTTGAATATTTAAGACATTTTCTATCAAACATTTTATATTATTGCATAGATTTTTAATCATTTTCTTTTGACCAGTAAATTATTAAATTATATTATATTACATACTCTATTAATTTTAATAGCAAGTACTATAATTTAACCATAAGTAACAGAGTAGCATGTTAGATAAAAATAATGTTATGAATTAAAACGAAATAATGAATTAATAATACTTAATAATTAAAGATAATGTCATTATATGGATCCGTTTGGCTAAGCCGATAACGAAAGCTAGGGAGACTTATTGCTTTAACGTTTGTTCTGCAGACAAACATTAGTTGAAAATAGTACCTTAACTCAATGTCATAGAGTTAAAAATATAATGATCTTTTTTATTCGTTTTGTTAGTCAAATTTCAACTATGTCGTCAAGGTATAACAGTTGATTTTTGCTTGACAGTAACATTTTCTTGTCTTTTATTTCGGCATGAAGTTTATAGGTTTAAGCCTCAAACTATTGCACCTAAGTTTCAACTAGTGTTTGCCATTAGATTGCCTTTCAATTCAAAGCTATATTTTTCATTAATAATATTTTTTTACTATATTTTTACGGTCACGGCGATACAAAATTAGAATTGATCATAATATATAACGGAATAATTTTTGGTATACAAAATTTAAGGATAGAACGCTTATCCAAAATATAGAAAAAAAGAAAACATCTCATCGCTAGGATACACTAAACATAAAGTAAATTATTTTTTTATTAACGAAATTCACATTAGTTTTTATAGGGTAAAATCTCACTACCCCTCTTTTCAACCAATAGAAACGAAATTAGAATATTGCTATCTTAGTCTGACATTTGAAGAGCGAAACAGACAAGGCAATCTCAGACGTAAATTAGTTCTTCCATCCTTATCATTTCCTATACTATAGAATAGGACAGCAATACTCTATAAACACGATTCTATTGGTAAACAACAGAAGTAGCTTTTAAAAGGACACAAATTATTAAAATTCTTCCATTGGCCAATAATATGTCCCCGAATTAAAAAAAAAAACTAAAAACATTCAAACATACATAAATACATACATGAAAATAATAAACATTGCTAATACTATTACATTCGTATACAGGATGTGACTGAATCTGTGAATGATTTTAGTTAACGTACTCTTTGAGATACTAAGTGTATTGCGTTGCATTAAATTTCATCTAACTCAAAAAGTAAGGTACCTGAATCGTAAAAATAATGTTTCAATAATAAGGTTCAATTTTAAATTTAAATTTATAAACTGTAATTTACGCTGCATGTAACGTCATATAAATAAATGGTATTTCTTTCTTTCTTTTGCATAATGTTTTAGAGTCAAATAGGTTACTTATTTTTTTTAAATTGCTACAAAAAAATAAAAGTAAGTATGTGGATTTTAATTAATTGAAGCATGATATTGTTTTTTAATAGGTACAACTGTACTAAACCATCTTAACAATACGTTTTTAACTAAATAAACTACGAAACTATTGATAATTTATCAGACGATAAGAATCAGGCGTTACTTTGCGGAAACCCATGACGTTAAATGTTATGTAAAATATCTAGTTTTAGTTCCGCGACAAAGTTTAGTTTTTCTCGCGGAAATAAAACTTAATATTTTTCATAACATTTAATACGAAACTATTGCATTACGATGATACTTAGGTAGCCTTTAGCCTTTTACGATGATACTTACACTAACACCTGGTTTCTGAAAGGCTTGTCAACGCTAAAATTAACTAATCTCCTGTTAAATCTCTTGTCAAGTCATCTGATTGGTTGACTAAATTATCATCAACCAATCAGATGACTTGACAAGAGATTTAACAGGAGATTAGTTAATTTTACAAGAGATTAAATTGATTTTAACAGTGATCGGCCTTTCGGAAACCGGGTGTAAGTATCTTCAGTACACATTCAATTTAAATCATTTACAAATTCAATCACGTTTCTGTATACTTAGATTATTCATATGTAATACGAAACTTGTCTAACTGGCATAATTATTATTCTTTGTGGAATATTAGAAAATATGGGCCGTCACTATAATATATGACCCGAGAATATTAATGATAAAAAGTTAGTCCGTACTTTTATTTTACATAGTTATACAACATAGAAGCGACTTGATATGACACACAGATATATTGTATGATTTCATTTATTTGTCAAAATAGTCCATTTTTAATATCGGTGTGTGTTTGTCTTTGACCTATCAAGCTATGCAAGCCTACAAACGTTTTGCAGATTAAAATTTACTAGGAATATACCATAGCTTAGAAGTTGAAGAACATGGCGATTATTATTAGAAATCTTATGGAAGGCATGGCAATTTTATGTTATATACAGGGTGTTAATTATTGGAAAATGTAGATGTAAAAAGAAATATTTTGACAAATATATGAAAACACACGGTACTGCGCAAGTTTACATTAAAACTGTTACTGAGACTATTAAACATCTGTTGTGTTGTTCTGACATGTTTCTAGTTCAAAGCATGTAGGTAAATAGGTATTTGCCTGATGCACTGGCTATTAATCTTAACACATTATTAAAAATTTTGACCAAAACGCTTTTTATTTTTAAGGGTAGGTATAGGTAGATTTATGCATCTTCATCTACTGATTTAAAATAGTAGTACTCTACTACTTTCAAGTCACAACGGGACTCTTATTCATGAGCAGCGTGCGCGTCGCTGTGACGTCACAGCCGACTCCGATCACTACAAGTTTTTCTCAGTTATTTCAAGTTTTATTATTAATAAATGTAGCATGTTTAACGATAGTAACTATTCGTAAGGTATTATTACGATCATATGAGACAAGCTGAGCATTTCACACCGTTAGTGTATTGTCAAAATTCCAATTACCTATTTAATTCGTTCGTAAAACATGTCAGAACAGTACACGAAAAAGTTCGAATAAGTATACTGTTAAATATTTATTAAAATGGTAAACAGGCCTACTGCTATTTAAATACGATTTATATTAAGAGCGTATATTTAAAAATAAAAACGTGGTTATTATTGGGAAAAGCGTACAATTACGCGAACTATTGTCACAGTTATCCGTGGGAGCAAATGAGCCCCGACAAACAGTATTTCAAAGCTAACCGAATGAGATAATAGATCATCAAAAACTGGGATTGAGAACATTAATTATTTAATTTTTGTATGGCAAGCGATATATATATTATATTCTCACAACTAGTCAATTCAGTACTTTTAATAAAATGACAAAAAAATATTATAATTGACTAAAAATATTATAGAAACATAACATTGAAAAAAAAAAACATTGTAAGACATACTGGCTTGTGACGCCATTATATTTATAATAAAATAGTTTTTTTTATAAGTCACTTCGAAAAAATTATGTATTTTTGATTATTTAAATGAGTTGAAAGAATTTATTTTTTAATCAGCTGGAGAAAACAACGAAGTATGCCAAAACTCATTTCAAGAGTAAAATGACGTCTCTATTAACAATTTCGCTTGGCGTTGAAATACTTTTCGTGTGCGGGGCAGAGCAGTAACATAAGCCTTCTAAATATCTTGATCTGAGATGTTTAGTAGATAACTGAATGAGTGGACTGTGCCACTCAAATTGATAGTATTGAGTTGTATTACTTGAGCGCTTATCTCCAGTAATATTTCGAAACCCACACAATAGACTAGAATAAATGAAATTGAAAAGGAATTTTAATAAAATAAAAT